TCACCCATCTTTCCCTCTTTTCTTTTCTATTCTTGTATTGTGAAATTATAAAAAGAGAAAATTTTTATTTAATTTTTTCTATTTATATAATAATAATTATTATTTATATTTTTCAATTATATTCTATTTACTCATATATTTTAAGCTTCTATAGATTTTCCTTTTTAAATTTATACGAATCATCAACCATATTTTTTTTGTTATATAAGTTATATCTCCTATTTGTCATGATTTTTTTTTGTTATGTGGATTTTATTTTTAATGATTTTAATTTTTAAAAATTAAAAAATTATTGTATATGTAATTTTCAAATATAAGTTCTAGTGTTGCATTATTGGTTGTTGTTTAAAATTTCACTAATATATTATTTTTTATTATTCCTAATTATATAAGAAAAAATTATCTTGAGTATATGTTTTTAATGTGCTTTATATTTTATATTTAGTTGAAAGTAAATTATCTTGAATATAAGAAGAGATTATTAATTTTGTATATCATATTTAACTATTTCTATTTTATGCATTATAGTTTAATATTTGGTGTTATAAACTTAAATATAATAAAATAAAAATATTGATGTTGACTACATAAATTTTTTAGTTGATTGTATTGAGAAAGATGAGTTTTTGAAACAAAATAAATGACAAATTTCTTATAAATAATTTAATTATTCATGTTAAAAAAGATATTTTCATCGTCAAACAAAACTTTTCTAAAGCACTATTATAAGTTTTTTTTTCTTTTTATTTCTTTTGTTTTACATGTTATATAAAATTATTGTCTATTATAAATTTTTTGATTATTAATGGTTAAATTCAATATATTAGTTTAAAAAAATTTTAACTTTTATTTTTCTTAACCTTTGACCTCTCACTAAAAATTGACTAGGTCCGTCTTTGGTCGTCAAAGTTATATATCACAATTATAATTAAGGTTCGCTTCACAAGATTAAACTTTAGTTAGTATAATATAAAAACTCACATCAGACAAGTATATGCACTCACATCATACTAGTATATGCTCTAATACCTATTGCAATGATGCAAATCTAAACATTCAATAACTTTTTGAATCGTAAATCATATTATTTTCAAAAATTTAAGTTCAAAGTTTTAATGATTAACTTAAATTTTTATTTAAATTTTAATAATTTAATGCACATCTCATGTGTGATGAGTATTATAATACCATCCATTTAAATCCTTGATCAAGACCTAACTCAAGACCTAAGCAATGCAATACTTTTAACAAATAATTTCTTTGGAATCTGTCAAACCCAACCCATCTTATGCGACAGGATTTGCAGCCCAATCTAGGTGAACCCCTGGAAAACCAAAACCTTAAAACTAGATTGTAGAGCTCATCTGGTTACGAAGAGCCCTCCAAAAATAGGCATATGCCTCTGTCTGCGACGCACACACGGTATTCTTTAGTAAAAGGCGAAAGAATAGTTCGCTCTGTGTGCACCGCTCGGCTGCATGCTTTCTGAAGGAGGCACCCGTCGCATTTTATAATGGTAGTTCTCAAGCTATTAGCTATATTGTTTGCTGATGTGGGATAGTTTTATCTTGTTGTCGTACAGAAATGAAGTTTAGTACTTTAATCGTGGCTTCCTCTTGGAAGTTGGAATATCCTACTAATACTACAAAAAAATTGCCATAGGAACATTCTTTACATAAATTAAACGTGCTTCTTCCTTCCGGACATCTTATAATCTTCTATAGATCCATACATAAACGACATCATGAACGTTCCCCAAAGATTAGTAGGACTACAATTTGAACTGATTCAACAATTTATATAAAAAGGAAAATAAATTCCCTGGCACATGAAAATCTCTCCTTTGTTTTAATTTCCAATTTATGATTTATCAACACAGCTTATTCTGTCATTCACATGATCACATCTCTTACCTTCCTGCTGCACTCTAGGAGCTACTCACAGTCTTGATGATTGGCCTGCTTGCTTTTTGAAACGCGTGCAGTGGTTCAGGTCCTTTATTTGGATTTGTGTACTGCATTTACTTTGGGTTGGGGGTAAGGATTCATTAGTCACGGTGATCGGCGTGGTGTAGGCGACTGGAAAAAGAACGTAGAGAATGCGTCTAGGACTCTGAGCTTTGCTATTTTCAGATTGAACACTGTGGCTCTTGGGTTCTCTGTGGTGGTTGTGATGAACCTGGATTCTTATGATTTGAATATATCAAAATTCAGCTGCTATTAGAGCACATAAACGGTTTCATTAGCATTTCATAGTTCACAACTGCTGCATTGTTACTTTGATCGCATTCTTGTTTTTCTCGTTTACCGTTTCTTAGTCTGCATTGCTCTGAATTGTAAATTTCACTGGCTTTTGTTGTGTTAGCACTTTCTTTTGGATAATATGTGGCTTTCAATGTCCCCATGGGAATTGTAAATTTCAAATTATTAGCATTCTTCAAAAGCTGCTAAGCAGTCTTTTTAAGTTAAAACACCAAATTTGTTGTTGTACTTCTATGAAGGATTGGTGAATTGACTAAATATTACATATTGTATGTGTGTAAGGAGACAACAAGGATACAATGAGGTTTAGTAGGTTCTTTTATTGATCTTTTCTTGAACAAAACTGAAGCCAAGCATATATTCATTGACTTACTGTAATTTCTTACCACCTATGAGGTACATTGTATTACCCCATGAAAGAATCATGCTCATGATTATACTATCCCAACCTTTCCGGTGGAAATAAATTTGATTCGCCTTTCTTTACTGGCGATGTTGAGCTAGAAATGGTTTGAATGTCATCAGCATACCTACTGCCTCCACTATATTCAAGATGAAAAATACCATCTGAGTGCCTGTAGTTACAAATTTAGCTGGTAAGTTCTTTCATCTGACATGATGTAAACACAGCACAAAACATTTGGTGGAAGGCCCAAAGTTATTACAATTATAGATGACATGTTGTCATTCATTCTGAACCATGTCCAAGTTAATTAGAAGGCTCGAAGGGCACTTAGATTTTGATGAATAATTCTCAAATATGATATAGTAGTTAATCTTTATAGACTTAATTTCTCTATAATGATGATAAATTCAAACAAATATACAGCTAATGATATTAGTTTTCAAGGATATGGTCAAAGTTTTTAACGTGCTTCCCTTCCATTCTAACCAAAACTTGTGACGTAAAAACTATACATGGAAAAGCAATTGCTGAAAGTCCCTCTACCATTGCCTCTAGACAACAAGAAAATATGATATGAAGCTTGGTTAAGTAGCATACCTGGAAGAAATGCAGCATCCTGACGCTTTTCTGCCCAAGAAAACCTGACGAGAAAAACATAATGCTATTAACTATAAAAATAAAAAATATTCATTAAGATTACAAAACTAGTGAATACTGGCCTACTAGTGCCATACTAGCTTCAACTAGGCAGAAAATCTAGAGTAGGAAACTTACAATGCACCTCCTCCCGCTGGACCAGCTGCTTTGAAAAGAGACATTGCAGTCATGGCAATGCCATTAGCAGCTCCTCTTTGGTGTTGATCCTGTTGTTATATATTTCATTATATTAGGTTGAGATGTGTTTCTATTGAAGAACAATATTTAGTAGATATTGAAATAAGGAATTTCAACTATGTGAACCCAGAGTGAAGATTTACCACAGCTCGATTTTGCAGAATGAATAATCCAGTTATGATTGACACCTAGTTATGCAGAAGACTTAACAGTTAGAACAGCAGATAAGTTCATAACAGATGCTTCACAAGAATTAGGCTTTTGATAATATCGAGTCTGATAAAATTTGAAGTACTACAGAAATCTAACAGTTAAATGATCAATCTAATAGCAAGTTCATGAAAATTTTTGGTTTCATTCAGCCTCATTATTGATGAATAATCTTCCTCTAAGTAGACATGTATCCATACAAAATGCCTCTCATCAGTCGCAGCCAGTTCTTCTAGGATAGTGAGACCAGCTTACTAGGTGTGGTTTACCTTATGGCCTTGCATATTAAGCAAAAAATTAACATTCTTTAATAGCTTAACTATCTGAAAATAAAGTTCTAAGTATATTCACTTACCGAAAAAACGTTCTTCATGATAGATGCACAATTTAATACCAAGCTGAGAGTGAACCCTGACAACAGGGCTATGTAAGAATAACTTTGTAAAAGTGGTATAGTTAAGACCTGCAAGTAGGAAATTATGAACCAGAACAAATAAGATAATATATACTAACAAAATTTTAAAAAAAAAGTAGATAAAAGAGGTAAAGTATACTAATTGTCACAAGGTTTTGGGAACTTACACTTGCAATACGAGACACCAATACAGGTCCAAGAATCCTCTCAACAATTGGGTATACGGAAAGTTGAAAGACAAGAAGGCTGAAACCTGGAAGTTGAAGAATTAATCAATGTACAGCTCTACTCTATAGGAAAGTCATGGTTTATTTGGACATGACATGATCCAAAGGAAATTGTTAATACAACAGGTAATGAAGTAAAGATCACATAATACTATCTCCTCATCATCTACTATCCATCTTTAACTGCACACTCCTACCCTTGAATTAAAATTACAAAATATAAACATAAATTTTATAAAATTTTACTGTAAGCATTAAACTGAAAACCTCTTGGTAATAGGTGCAGACAGGAGAGGCTCATACTTAATTCAATGACACAAGAAAGCTTAAAGTCAATTGATGTGAGATAACACTGCTTAACAAATTTAATCATGTAGTCACATATTTGAGATTGTGGAAGCTGTTTGTACTTTTAATTAATCAAGACTTGGTAGCTGACAGCTTATACATGAAAGTGAAAAAGAGAGGATACTGGCAGGAAAAAGTATTACTATGACACCTCAAATGCACAGAATTGTAGACATGGTCCTTCATATTAATCCTAAAATGCCATGCCAATTTCTAAAGACTGCATAAATAAACAAGATTGTTGATTATGAATTTATGAGGTTGTTACAAGCATATGAACGTAGCCATTGCACTTGTTATCAGTTGAAGAATGTGCTTTGCTTAAAGCTTGGGAATTCCAAACCTAAGAGGTGTATATGGGTGTTTGTGTGTTGTAGGGTGGGGGTAGGAGGAGGGGCAGTGGTCGACTTATGCAATATAACATGATTAATCGAAATACCTGAGACTGCAAGAACTTCTCCAACATCCTCTGTGGAATAACTCAAACCCCCAAACTTTCTAGGGCTAACGGCCCATAATGAAAATATCTGCAGAGCCAAGATAATTAATCACAACATATGCAGTCGGATTGATAGACTTATTAAACCATGACGATATGGTTAGTACCTCTGTGTAGGCCATATCATGAAGGGAGAAGACGCAATAAACAATGATAGATGACATCAAAGGCCAATTCTTAAGGAGGCTTTGCTTAGAAGTGGATTCTCTTCCTTCATCTTCTTCTGTTATTTCCTTTGAGCTAGACTCATGAGGTGCAGCTTCCAAAGCATCATACGAATCATCACTTGATCTATCGTTGTCATTGTGTTTGTGAAGTGTTTCCTGCAACAATCAGACTTTTTAGAATCTGCAAAGGAGTAAATAGCCAATCGTGTCAAGCTATTACAACGAAAGGCAAATAGTTTCCTTTCCAATAGTGATTCTAGAAACTCAAAACTAAGTTGAGAGTAAATTTTCTGGTAATAAACTTAAAAGAGTATATAATAAGCAAATATGAAAACAAAAACTTTAACAACTGGATTATGGGAGATGGCCAACTTGTTACGTAGCACAGGCAGAGAGTTGGTGTCATAGATCAAATCTCAGAAAATAAAGGCCCTCTGCAGGCATGTACAGGACAGTTTATGTTAAATTGAATGTCAAATTGGAGGTTGTAAAAATCAGGAAAATTGTTCCCTTCACTAACACCTTGTATTCTTCAATTTCAAGAACTAGATACTTAGGTCCACTTTCAAAAGGGAAATGCCATTCAAAGAGAAAGAGAAGATAGAATTCATCCATTTGTATAAGAAATATCATGCACAATTAATGCAGAAACTGCTGATTATAGACAGAAAAGCATTTTATCCAATGAAGTTAGTTGGTGTAACCAGAAAAAATATGAGATGATCACCACACAGGTTCAATGAGCAGAAAACAATGGCCAAACTAGAGATGTTAGTTGACATGTCAAATAACAATTAATTCCTAACAGAGATGATTTGTTTGGAAGATAGATTTGGTATAAAGTAGGAAGTAAACTAATTAGGATATGTACCGGAAGCCAGAAAGTAGCTATGGTTACTCCCAAGGCAAAAAGTGATGTAGCGAGGCAAGGTAAGAAATATGGAAATCTGCAACAAGGAATATCATCATTTTAAACAACATAGAAAAATAAACATTGCAAAGTTCTTACATCTAACACAGTGGGAGAATAAGCAGAAATTCACCTCCCAAACAGGGAATCTTTGGAAAAGATATTCGGGTACTTCTCTGCTGGCTGAATCACAGAATTTTAAGAACATCAAATGAATACTTTGAAGTGAAGAGTGTAACAGATATCAAAATCAGGTTAAATGCAAGTGTATATAGAAGCATTTTTCCACATAACTAAATTATATATTTAATACAGATTCAACTAGATACTTGGGTGCTAATTTTTTGTTTCTCTCCTCCGTTATGATGCAGTGATTATAGACGATCTCTTACAATATCTCAGACAACAACTGATTTACATTGGAAGCCAGAAGTGAAAAAATTTGTACATTTTCCTACTAGTTGACTCCATTCAGAACATGTTGCTTAGGTCTTGAAGCACATAAGAGAAGAAAGAAATGGAAGTACCTGAGCTAGAAAACCTCCCAGAGCAGGGCCAATAATCAGTCCTATGCCCCATGAAGTGCTAACCTAAAATTGAGTAATACTTCTCAAATTGATGTTGCAGTAAAATCTCAATGAACTCAAAGCATATAATGGTTGGTAGAGGCTCACAGTTGATAGGCCTAAGGCTTGGTGTTCTTCTCGAAAGATTTCAACTGCATATGCCTGGAGATTGTGCAAGTTAACTATGTATGAGAGTGGTAAAATTTAATAACACATAGCAATTAGCAAGTGAAGCAGTTGGATGGCAGTCCAGAAACAAATGAAGGAAGAATCAGAATTTGATCCAATTTGGGATTACGGACCTTTATTGGTCCAAGTAAGCCGTTTAAACTTCCCAGAAGAAATCTTGTAATTACAGCCATCCAAAAATTTACACTAAGGCCAAAGAGAGTGTTGAAAACAACCCTGATAGACATTGGCAGTTATAACAAAGGAATACAGATATGAGAAGTTGAAGAAGATTTTAATATTATTTTGGGAATATCAACTAGAAGTTTGAACTTAGATACGGTTTTCACTCACACTGTAATAGTTCCCATGATTATAACAGGCTTTCGACCATAACGATCAGCAATTATTCCCCATAGTACAGATGTCAAAGCTCTTCCAAGCATAAATGCAGACCCTTCAGATATTTAAGCATTGTGTTAGGATTCAGTTCTCAGAGGGACAAGTTTGCTATGATTGAAGAAGACATAAGCTCACCCACATAACCAGCATAGTAGCCAATATCTTCCTCCCTTTTCGAAATATGAAAATCCCTAATCTGCAAGCAGAACAATCAAAGGAAGGAAGACTGCTGGAATAAGTAAAGCATGTTTTAAGTATTCATGGGGAGAATCTCAAATCGGGTTTCTATGAAAAGAAGAAATAGAAAAATCAGAAAGGTTTCCATGTGGAAGATTCAGTTGAAAGAAAGAGGCAGTCAGTAACTAGGTAAATTGAGCTAAGCATCGAATTCATAAAGAATGCAACCAAGTGATGAACATTAGGAGAAACGTGAAAAGATTGCTTTATGAGGACTAATTACCAAGGCACAGTGTAGGGAATTGTAACAAACAGAGTATCAATATTTCCGGAGTTCTCCATTAGGCCATGCAGTTTGATGGTTCACCGTTCTTTACAACTGATTTCTTGTTTTCAAAGAGTCATATCGCATAGGCTGCCATAGAATTATGAAAACAATACCCTTTCCAACAAAACAAAGGATTCAAGGAAATTCACCACAAATTCTAGTAGTTGCCAATATTATATATCAGGCTTTCATCATAGTTTGCCGAAGGTGCAGAATCATAAATTTGTTGCATAGATAAACTTACAGAAAGGATAAAAACCATAAAGAGGATTTGTCTGAACTCACCATGAAGTATAGGAATGGAAAGAGAGACGATATCGGCAGAGCTGAAAGCATTTAACAGTAGGAAATTAGGACCAATACAGATGAAGGAAATCAACGAAAGAGGGCGTTGAGCATGAAGTATTCTTCAAACAATAGCCAACAAGGAGATAACTTTGCTACCATAAAAAAGAAATGTGTAATTTTCTTTACCAGCGCATAGCACAACAATCCATATGGAAACGAGTTGGCGAAGCGGTAAGCCTCGCTGCAACTCCTTCATTTGATCAACCTTACATCCAGGGCAGTTCTCATGGTACTTCTTCTTTAACAGCGGCTCTGTATACTTTTGTGCCATGCTTCTTATTGAGCTGAACAGATATTGAGCCCAATAAGCTTTGTCTTCCCCTTTGAAATACAAGTATCCAACCCCTTAGACTTGATTAACAAGAACAATCAATCAACAAATCAAGAAACAATAGGTATATGAATATGACAGAATACAATCCAAGTGCTCTCTAATCAATCATCTGATAGAATATAAAGACATGTGCTGCTGCGATGCGAGTGGAGAACAAACACAAGAAGGTGGGTTCTTTTGACAAGATTCTTCTAGGAATTGAACATTGAGCTGGCTCAACAAGCTCCCTTCCCACTTTGAAATATTTGAAAGTAAACATTCAGAAGAAGACGAGTTAAATCCATGTGTTGTCTGAAAGAAAATAATAAAAAGGGAATATCTATCACTTGGACAAGATGATTAGACTCAATAATGACTGAAGTCATCTAATAAAATAAACTTGGAAATATTTAGAATATTCAATTCATTCAAGACGCAAGAAGAGCTTTGCTTTGGCTTAAATTTCCATCTTTAAAGGGCAGCAGCCTACGTATCAAAGGCAGACATCATTGCGCACGTCAAAGTAGTGAAGACGACCATAGCTTTTAGATTAGTGAAAATAGAATAATCAAAACTTTTTTGAACGATTACCAGACAAAATCATGCAACCCTCGTTCTCTAGTACACTTCAACCAATCCCAAGAATGCTCAGGAATCAAAATAAGAACAGGTCTCTTGAACTGACAGTAAAAGATTATCTGTCATTTGTCAGACATAAAAGTTACGTGCATTGATTTGCAACACCACAAATTTAGAGAAGACAGAAAGGCTTGACTGTATTGTTGGTACTAAAATAGGAGTCCAAATCATCTACCCCAGTTGGTGTCCCATCCTGTTTGCCTCCTCATGAATTATGAATTTGTATATCAGCCTCAAGTCCAATATTTTACTGGGTAAGGCACAACATGTCTTTATCGATTTCCTAGTCAGATAGACATCCCCACACTTACAGCCAAGCATTGCCAATAAACAAGAAAAAGAAAAGTTTAAGAAGAAACGTAAATTGCGCGGTTGTTAGATTATGATGATTCGATTTGAACATACCTTACAGTTGTGTCCCAGAAACCGAATTCGGCAGTCGCCATTCTTGACATGTAAGAATATATGTTACTTTTCACAATCATCTTTGTTTGCTATTATTGCGTTCGTCATCAAATTTAACAATTCTGAAAAAACGCAGCTTCAATCATAATGTCAAAACAAACTCCAAATTTACTCATAAATTTAGTAATTCAGCGTCACTCCATTATCATGTCATTTTCACATACCTATAAAATCATAAATTATATTTTGATGAATTATAATAATTTATATAATAAAAAAATTACAAAAATTTAATTAAATATAATAAAAATTTATTTAAAAATTTTTAAATAATCCAAAAACTTTTTAAAATATAATATCAAATAAAGAGAAAACTCTTAACTGGATTTTACAGAGTACTAAAAATGTTGCACTATTGCTCGTGTACGTCTAGTTGAATAATTTACCCAAAGCATGAGTGCCTTGGGCATGTGACTGTTTAACTATTTTGGACACATGCCAAACAGGGATGTTCCTTTTCACTAAAGCCTCTTGCACCCCTCCACCTACCCCCAAAGTTCTGTGCACTTTTAGTATTACATTTCAACGTAAACAAATTTATAATTTAGTTGTTATTTTTTTATAATTGAAAAAAAGAGATTTGAATCCTACTTTTTAGGTAGGAGATCATATGCCAATTATGAACCAAATATTCGAGTACATAATTTAGTTACCATTTGATTATTATTATTATTATTATTATTATTACGTGAAAAAACTTAAATTTAGGGTTATGCAGTGGTCGGTTTCAATTGATTTCGGTTCGATTTCAGAAAAAATAAAAACTGTCAACTTTGGCTATCCGTTATGACTGACCGAAGTCGACCAGTCATAAAAAAAAAAAACCTATCAACCTAATTAAACGATTGGAAATTCATGTTGAAGTTGGGTTTAAATGGCTCAAAATTAATAAAACCATGAAAGATTTATGTTAGGTTTGGGCTTAAATTTGTGTCAAGCTCATATTTTAAATTGAAATCAAGCCCATATTGTTTAAATAAGTAGTCTAACCCATATGATTTATTTTTAATAAGAACTACATAATTTTGTTTTAATAAAAATTATTTTCTTAAGCTTAAGCACAAATTACTTTGTTCACTTTTCAAATTGTGTCATTACCCAAAATATTCAATTACATGAAGGAAGGAAAGAGTTCACCACAATCTCAAGCACTTCCAAAATCATTATTAATCAAATTTCATCACATCCCAAATTAAGTGAGACAAATTATCAAATGACAGATAAACTGAATTCATCCGAAATAAGAACTATAATCATATCCAAAATGACAGATATTCAAATGAAATAATCATATTCCCATTTAAGTGGACTGTGTCTATGTGGAAACTTTAGAATTCCGACATTAAAAATTAACTATAGCAAACCAACACCTATCCATATCCATAAAGACCACAACTCAACTAAAAAATAAACACAGCAATGAATTGATCAAATGACCCAAAAACACAACAATAGAGTAGTAGATGGGTAAGGAAGAAGGCATAATAGCTAACACCAAAATCTATTTTTACCAACCAAACCAACCTTGAAGATAAATGGTGGGTAAGGAAGAAGGCAGAGGAGGTTGGCAAGTGCAACAGCAAGAGGGAGATGACAAATGTAGGTGTAATGACAAGTGAATGAAGAATTAATGAGAAATGGGCTAAGTGAAGGTTTTTAATTTAGAGTTTCAAACTTTCAATACAATAGGGAGTAAGCAACAAGGATTAATGAGAAAAGGGGCAATTGGGAAAAAAGGGGTAGGAAAAGGCTAAGGAAGGTTAATGAGACCTATATTTGGAATTTCAACCCTTTCGATATTTTGGTCAGTTTGGTTGGGGAGGAATTATCCTCGGTGATTGAACCATAGTGGCTAAGCAACCATTGGTTGCAACTGGTGCCACAACCAGCATTGAATAATTGAGTCACTTGTGGCCACTGGTGTTGGTTCTAGTCTGTTGCTCGGTTGCAACTAATTGTTGCTCAGTCCCACTTAAACTAAATAATCTAATAAATTAATTTAGTTGTTAGTGCTTGTTTGGCTTAACTTTTTCTTAGCTTAAAAGCTATTATAAAGCTTTTATGAAAAATAATAACTTTGAAAACTAAGTTAAAACTATTTGGTAAATTTACTTTTATAAACCTTTTTTTGTATATAAGTTGTTTGGCAAAACAACTTATATAAGCTCTAATTTTCGTTAAAATTATCGTCAAGGGTTTATTTTTAATAGATGAGAAATTTTTTTTGAGGAGTGATTTATATATATATGTATATATATATATATATATCTATATATATATATAGAGTGTGTGTGTGTGTGTGTGTGTGTGTGAGAAATAGGGGTATTTTTTAAGAGGGTAATGTTGAGATTATTTTTAATAGATAATGACATTTTTGGAATAAAAAGGAAAATTCTCTTGAAATATTGGCATGTTTTTAAAAGAAGATAAAAGAAAGTTCTCCTTAGAGCTTTTCCTGAAGCTTTTTTTTAGATTTTTTAAAAAAATTATTTTTTTTAAGAGTTTCTCAAAATCTTATATGACTTGGCTTTTACTTTTAAGAGGTAGATAAATTGCAAAAAAGCCAGACCTTGTAGACATTTATTTTTTAAAAATATATTAAAAATTAAATAAATGGATTGAAAAAGTAATAACAATAAAAAAATGGAAAATAAAAAAATGAAAATAAATGAAATATAAAAATTAAAGAGAAAAGGAAAAAAAAGGGAAAACGAATGAGAAAGGGCTAGGGCATGGCAATAAATCCATGCCTAGCTATGGTAGCCTCATGCACGCTAGTAGTGTGCTCTGGTGCCCTGCCAGGCGCGATGTTATCATGCATAGTTGAGTGATTCACCAAGGTGAGGTGGCTATACGACCACCCACCTTGCTTAGTGGATCATGCATATAAAAACCCATAATCCCTAGAAACAAAAACCCCAAAAAAAAAAAAAGAAAGAACCCTAAAAAGAGAAAACCTCAGGAAAAAAAGAGTAAAGAAACCTTAGCCGTATCATCAAAAAAGAAATACTAGAAAAAACCAAAAAATAGCAAAAAAGACTCCTAGTTCTTCTACTACCCAAGCATCACACGATCAAAATCATCATAAAAACAAAGCAGAAAATGAGATAAAAAAAAGGAAAGGAATGAAGCTAGAGTGAATAATGCTCTAGTAGGGGAAGTTTTTTTTTTAATTATTTTTGGGATTCGTAAGGTTTTAAAAATCATGGTAGGGGTTTGTGAAAGAAACGGAGGAGGAAAAGAGGGTGTTGATGTCCTGAATGGCGGCCTCACAATAGAGTTTTTAGGTTAGGGTTTGAAAAAGAAGAAAAGAGAGTCGTTTACTAAAAAAAGAATAAGGAAGAGGGAAATGAAGAGAGATAAAGAAAAAGAGGTTTAAGGACTTAAGGTTTGGGGGTCAAGTGCCAAAATGGCATGCACTATTTTGCCAAAACATTACAACTAAGGGATAACAACACCTAAACGATGTCATTTCAAGAGTGGTTCAATGCACCAAACGGTGCGTTTTTATAGCACTCCCCATTTTTTATATGAATTATATAAGGTAAACCAAGCCAATTGATGAACTATATTAAACCTTTGGTGTATATGTTTAAGAATTCAAGGAATGCTTATGTCCATAGAGAGGTGGTTAAAGAATGTATGAGTATGTAAAAGCTAAAATGATGTTGTGCATACACTTGGTGCATGAATGATATAATGCATATGTTTATCACTGAGATGAGTATGATATGTATGCAAATTATGCCATGTTAATTGATATGCTATGTGACATAAAGCATGAATGAGAATTGGTGTGTATGATGGACTTGTGTTAATTTAAGTGAAATGATTGGAAGTTGTGGGAAAGATTTGGAATGAGTTTAAACCTCCAAAGAACCAATTTTTATGAATTTGTACCTTAAAAGTTGATCCTAACACATAGAGGATCGAATCTGTGAAGTAAAGTTTAGGGTTAAGTAATAGCATTGGCTCAAGATTGAGTACAGAGCCTTTATAGTCAATCTTAGGGTAGAAAATAATATTTGGGGTAAACAAGCTTGTCCAAGATTGAGTACCAAGCTCCCATAGTCGATCTTGAGGTTCTAGATTAGCAAAAATCAGGCTTAAAAGCCCAAAAATAGAAAAATCCTTCATTTTCTGTTATTTCTTCATTCTCTCATCCGATTTTTCTAAAATTTCACTCCACTCAAAACCTTCACACTCTAATACTAGATCTTGGATTTGAAGTGCTAAAAGTGAGAGATTTCACTCCAAAAAGCTTAGTTGGTGAATTTTCATTTTCTCGCTCTAAAATAAAACTCTAGCTTTCAAGAATGAAATTTTGAAGCACTTGGAGTTATTTGGAGTAAATATTGTAATGACCGCTCCTCGATCGCTACTGGTGTCCGAGTCTCGCTGGAGAACCCACTAAGTCTCAAATAAGTCTTACTTAAAACGTTATCTATTACTTCATAATCATGCCATCAATCTATGAAATTACTTTAAACCATACAACTCTTGTAATAAGGATTGAACAATAATCTTTGTAAAT